CCCCCCCCAAAAAGCTTTCCAGTCTTGCCTGAGAAGTGCAACACTCCTGTGCCTCTGTGGTTAAGACAATGATTGTAGCTGAACAGGAAAAGTAGTAAAGAGGTACTATACTAAGGCATCTCCAAAAAAGCATCTAAAACACACATGGAAGTCAAGTGTATATTTAGGACCTAAAAGACACCTGGAATAGCATAGGCATTTCGTACAGGGTTTTTAAAAAAATACTTTTAGATAATACTTATACTGTACAGGACAAGACTTTTACACAATATATTACACTGCTAAAATGTTCATATAAATACTATACAGGCGAATGTGCAACCAACCCGTTAGGAAGGTTCACAAATTAGACCACCACATATCTCTGGAAAAACTCTCAGATTATCTTCAAGATCTCCAATTTGTGTAATCCAAGCCACTGATTCAGCCATACCTGTTTTAAAGTAATTGGGACAAGGCATGAGATGAAATACATTTGTCTGTTGATTGCCAGTTCAAGTTTAATATGCTACTGTCATTTTAATCTGGCATATCAATGTTCAGTTTGGGAGGTGGAATCACGTATTTTCCAGGGCTCTGTGTAATGACCACTCCAGTCTTTTTTCGAAACATTGGTGCAATTTTTGGTGGTTCAGGCAGTGGTGTTTCTTCCGTTTCCTCATTATCTTCATGATGAAGATCGTAAGAAATATTGCCATATTCTCGTAAGAATGGGAAAATTTCAAGCAGGAACTGGCAAAAATCTTTACGAATTCCAAACCACCCTAAAAAAAAAAAAAAAAAAAAATTTCACATTACTGCAGAACAGATTAAAAATTTAACTGGGCAGACTATGCAATCTTGTATAAGTTCCCTTGATTGTTTGCATATGAACAATATAAAATTTCTTAGTGATGCTTCTCAGTGTGTTACTTATACTTATCACACATTACAGTTCAGATTATAAACAAAGATACACCTACAGAATATATACATAGACGTGCCTCAGCATGTCTGCACATGCATGTGTGTCTGTGTATATCCATAGGTATAAATTACAGCTGTACTACCACAGCAAGAATCCACTTAATTTCACTCTGCTCGTTAAGCAGTGTCAGGTCACATCAGTACACAGAGAAAGAACACAAAAGCCTTTGCATCTCAATCAAAGCAATCAGTGCCACATGGGAAGACATTCATGCCAACTTTTGTCTGATCCATACAGGTTACAATACCAGAGGGAATGTGATGGCATAGGCAGACACAGATCAGTAAATGTATGTATTCAGTATTCCCCAAATACTTTTGTTGTTAGCCAAATACAATGTGATGCCAGAAGTATCTAATCCTTGGTATTACTTGCACTAGTTAGAAACCAGTACACTCTGTCATGTGTTGCTCTGAGCCTCACTTTGCATGAGTAGTCTTTTTAAAAAAATTTACATAAATATTTATTTACCCTACAGAAGATAAAATGAACATGTGCCTTTCCAAAAGACTAATTTGGCCATAAATTATTTTTTAAAAAATGCATGGAAAATTGTTACTGGTGATACAATATAAATGTATGGAGATGACCTAAGAAAGAAATTTTCTATATATTTCATAATCAGACCAAAATTGAAGTGAGTTTATATAACAAAGATCACAGGTGGTTGGCTCAACTCTGAAAAATCCTAACAAATTTTATCACCTTGTCAACAAGGAACATGAACTGCAACCTGGTGGGAAGAGCTACTCATGTGAACTGGGTAAAGTAACATGAGATGGCTGAAAGTACAAATTGCTCCTTTGGGCAGTACTAGTTCTGGTGGGGATAAAAGCCTAGTAAATCTACACTGGCCACTCAAGCAACTGACATTACAGCTGATCAACACAGAGCACTATCTGGCCAAAGAGTAAAGAGAACACAGGTTCAAGCTACTAGTACAAATGCTAATTAAAAATGGTAAGTGCTACACTATTTTCAGAACCCAGAGTAGAAAGATCCAGTCATGTCCTGTAAGAATGAAACCCATGGAAATAAGGAAGGGTAAAAGGCTAAGTTACAGTTAAAATCCCATTGAGATTTCAAGTTAAGTCCAAGCAGAAGTTGCACTCCTACAGGAATAAGGAAAAAAAAAAAATTAAGAGGCACTGTAAACACTGAAAACAAAGTCACCTGAAAACAATAGTAACAGACACATCTGAATTCTTTCATAAGAGAATACATATGAAAATGCCCTTTTTGAAACACAAATCTTGATATCAACATTTAAGCCTTGAGCTTCAATCTGTTACCATGATTTCTAAATACTTACAGTGATTTCCTCCTTTCTGTCCAAATGTTGTTGCCATTAAAGTTATCAGTGAAAGCCAGAGAGGAACAAATATGGGTATAAAAGAAAAAGAATTGTGCCCATCCAGTCGATGTACTAGTAAGATCTAAATGGCAAAAAAATGATACAGTTTAATTGCAATACCCACTTCCAAGCTTCTCAAAACACAGGCTGATCTCAGATCTTCACACAAATCAGTGAAGGAAAACAGCCTCCAGAGAAACATGTAGTTACAGTTTCAAAATGATGCATATTTTACTCAAAAAAACCTTTAAAGAAATAGAGAATTCTTGTTTTGTTTTTTGTTTTTTTAATATTTGCTATTAGTATTTAATTCCAAAACAAAAAGCAGTATTCTCATTTTGGTAAGTTCCAAAAGAGGCAGAGCAATGTTCACCACTCACTAAAAAGAACAAGATACATGAAACTCATTACAATTTTTCCTACCTCAAATGTGAGCAGTGGAACTACAATTGTCATCCAGCTCACAGCCATTGTGATGTGCGTCCTCCTTTGCTCAGCAATCACATCCATAGAGCGCAAGAACAGAACAGACCATACAATGTAATAGAGCACCACTAGGCACAAAAATGACATCAGGATCCACAGTGGAACACAAACCACCTGAAAGAACAAGAAATTAACTGCTTTCCTTCCCCTCAACAGGGATACATTTTTATCAGTTTGATTTGCTTCAGGTGTGGGTTTTAATATGTAGACTTGGTTTGTTTAAAAATCTAAACAAGAAAAAGAAATTTAAGTCTAATGCTCTTTAATTCGACAGAAAAGCTTCACAAATCATGTACACTGTTACGAGCTGTATCAGCTCTGGCATTCCTCAGTTAGCTCTGTAAATTTTAAATTGTTTCAGCTTGATAGGGTTAAGTAGTTCAACTTTAGTAAGATTTCTGTGATTTTTACATGGGCTCAAACAGTACTTGAAATTATTTTAGCAAGCATTTTCTACACTGGATACCTTACTTGAAACAATTTCTAAATTAGATCCTTTTCCTAGTTTTTTTTTTTGGAAAACAAAGGACAGTCATAATCATGCTAGATTATCAGTTTTTTGGTAGATTACAGAAACCCAGACACAGAAACAACACTTTTGTATTCTAAATGCTCTTGGGACAGGAGATCTCAACAGTTTTGGCAGTGACCGCTTGTACAGTAAGTGGATTTACATGCATGGTAACACAACAAAACTAGTTATTTACCAACACATTCCCTAACTCACCAGTCGTTGTCATGGCTAGTTTAGTGTTCCCATCGGTTAGGATTTTGGTTAGGATTTCTCTTTCAACCACTGATCAGAGATTAATTGCAGTTGATGGCATGTCCCTCTCCCCCAATAGATGAAATGCCCAAAGAACAGCCTTTGTTTCCCATGACCACCGAATGAAATGCCAGACCTTCAGCGAAGGATTGTTAAGCAAGCAAAAACGTGATTGTGGACTCTGATCATACATTAACTGTTCCCTATAGCAAATGTCTTTATGAAATTCACCATTTAAACAAGGATAAGAACAAAACTTGTTACGTACAAGCCATGGCCATCTGATGATCTCATCTAGTCTGAGTGCAATAAATATGAACTGTAGAATATTGACAGAACACAAGATTTCCAGCTAGAAAAAGAAAATACATTAATTAACTCTTAGCATGATAAAGCTATTTCCAAGATGACCAAAGAAACTGTCAAAGTACTTTGCTGACTTCATGCTAATCACTGCAATATGGAACATTATTTGCATTTACATGAGAGATTACTACGCACCCCTAAATTTGGGAGGCTGTGATCCCAGTAGAGTAACACTAGAGCCAGCTGTCTCCTGAGGAAAGACCTGGTATTTAAAAGAAATAAAAGCACTACCTGCAACACTTAAAGTGATTAGAGAAGTAAGAAAAGCCAAAGTTATCAGACAGAAATCAGAAAGTTTAAGTCTCAGCTCTGTCTGGGGGGAAAAAGATGTACATTGAAGAGTGGAAGACGACATCCAAATTCAATCATTTACTGTGTAAGAGAGGTACTTTAAATGACACTGAAGGCACTTGGGTTTTAAGGCAATACAGAAAAGCAATACTTCTCATAAAAAGCTTTCATTGCCATTTTTAGAGTGTCCCACTTGCCACTATGAGAACTAACCCCAAATTATACTTTAAAAAAAAAAATTTGTTTGACTTTGTTCAAGCTAGACACAATGAAACACCATCACATTTGGCAAGATTCTGTTTCTAAAGCTTATGGGCAGCCCTACATGGGTAGGAATTTCAAAGATCAGAGAATTATTATCTGAAAACACTAACTGAAGCTCTTGAGTGAAAGTGAGAAACATTTTCCATTTAAAAAAAACCATGTAGTTATGTGAAGCATCTTTGCAATGTATTATTTCTCAGATGGCAGATACTACATGCTACTTTTCACTAACATATATGATTGTGTACCACGATCTCTTGGATAAATGTCTTTAAAATTCACAGTATAAGGAGTCAAAAATCCAACAGGCAGCAGGCACTACTTCACAGACTGCACTGAAGTCTTCACTAATGAAGTACAGGTTCCTTAAAGACTGGACAACTAGATTTAAAGTAATTTTGTACCACTGGCTTTCTCAAAAAAAATAACCACCAAAAAACCCCACACTCAAGCATAAGACCAAGCAACCTGAAAACTTCAAGAGCAAATACAGAGAAAAAAAAAAACCAAAAAACCCAGAGGATCAACTGGTATAAATAATTTTCAGGATCAACATTTGAGCTATATATGGCAAGTGCAAGTATATTTGTAGTGGCTAGGCTCACAAGTTAGTTAATTCAATATGCCTTAAATAAATGGTGCTTTACTGACTATAAAAACAGTGTAACACAAGAGAAAGCTTTTTCTGAGCCCACCCTGATATATAGACAAAACCCCACTACGTACTTACTGATCACCAGTTTCAGAATAGGAGCAAGCAAACAAATATATTTCAGATTAAATAATTATGAAAATAATAGATTTACAACTACTTTAATTACTCATGCCAAAAAAATAATATCCTGGATTAAAGACGGGCACCTCTTACGTTTCCAGCAAATGAAAGGGAAATAATGCAATCTTCCCAGAGTAAAACCAAAAGAAAGTAGAACACACTAAATGAAGATGACAAAACAGTAAACAAAGAAAAAACTAAAAATTGACAGTTCAACTGCATAACTTCAGACAGCTGTTGCCTTTTAGGGGTGAGTGGATTCCATTTTTTTCTGCCAGTCCTTGGCAGCTGTGCAGTCATCTGTAAATCAATGGGTAATCAAGCATCATGCAGTAGAAGGCAAGTACTTCTACACAAATTTTACTTTTAGGAATGGTTAACTATGAATAGAACTCTGCAATGTGAAATTCTATTTGCAATATTTTTAAACCAACAATTTAAGGTATCAGTTTACCAGCCATCCTAACAATCACTTACCAAAAATGTTTCTAGAGATAAACTCAGTTTATGCTAATGTTAAGAGAAATATTCCCTTGAAATTAAAAAAAAACTTGAAAGAGCTGAACTTCATCTAAAAATCAGGTTTTTAATTGTCATGGGGTAGTTTGAGGACATAGTAAACGAAAAAAATCCTTTTAAAAAAAAAATCACTTCAGTAAGAACTTAAATTTATTGCAAAAATCCGCAACCATGGAAGATACTGAGAATCCTTATGAAGTTCTTCAAAACCAAAAGGAGTGAGTCAGAAAGGAAAGAAGATAGAGGCAAAAAATAAAAACCTACTGGTTTATGCCTACCATCTGCGTTCCCAAATTAAAGATTAAGCACACAGATTGGGATAGTAAGACATTTTCAGCTGTGATTATCTAATGGCTCTGGAAGTTCAATTCTGCCTAGGGAGAGCGCTTAGTATCAGTGCAATTTTTTTCAGCAATTTCCATTTTAGTGTGTAGTATTAATCCACATTACAGAGTTTGTGGTGAGTTCTTTTAACACACAATAATAAAAAGGCAGGTTTAAAACTTGGTGCAATTTGGCAGTTGAAAGAAAAAATAGATGAGATTGGAAAAAATAATTTCTGATCCTGATTTTTCACTCTAGCAGGTCAGTGCAAGCAATTCAACTGACGCAGTCATCTGTATCAGGCTTTAGGGAGAGATGAACTGTAACATAATTGATACAATCTCACATTGCCACAAGTTTTACACATAACAAATGAAGCATTACCTCCAGAGACCTGTCATGTCGGAATCCCCACACACAAGCTGCAACTGACACTGGAGATACAAAGAATAAGGGCATGAAGACCAGAAGCCAGAAATGGGTTCCTCTTTCGATCCTGTCACACACCAGAACTTCAAACATCAGCAGTAGCAGGTGGATGCCTACTGCAATCAACATAGCTTTGAACTCCACGCAGGTTTCTCCTTCTGCTCTAAAGAGAGGGTGAGGAAGTGTTCAGTTTACTTGTCAACAGGAAAGCACTCTTTCCTGCAAACATCCCAAGACACTTTGTTTACGGTTGTTAAATTTCAGATATTAACATTCATTTTTAACAAACATACACACTATGCCCAAATAGCCACTATTGAATTACAGTCCTGATGACATAACAGGATTTCTTGCCCATAAAGCTGCACATTTGAAGTATCTTACTCAAAGGGGGCAGTGGGATTTTTACAACTTGAAAATTTCCTAAGCATTCCATAGCTGTGCAAATAAACCAGGATTTCTTTGCTACTACATAAACACTCCGATATCATGCAGGCTGTCAGGAAATAAGCTAACTCTGAAATTATCTGTTTGGTTCCTGTACCAGCTTTCATTGAATCAACACCTTTCCCCAGAATTTCTTTATTCACCAAAATCAGTGTGTTGCAAGAGAGTATTATATATTACTAAAAATGCCTGTAAATTACTAAAAATGCCTGTAAAATAACATCACACAGAGAAACCACACTTTTTCCTACTCAAGTGGGACCATTACTAGAAGGGGCAAACAAGATCTGAACCACACAACATAGTGTATCAGAATGAGACCTGTGCACAAAATTTTTCATTTCATATTCACCATAGATAGAAAAGAGCACTGAATGTATTGCACTTCATCTAACATAGTTATTATTTTCCCCTAGCATGTTCAAATTCACATCCTCAGATTACTAAAAAAATAAACACTGAGCTATTTAAAGGTCTGGAAGTTATTTTACCCTCGACTGACAATTAAAATATCCATGTTAAACAACTTTTACAAAAATGAAAGGGAATTTACAGAATTTGTTTCCACAAACATTTTACTTTGGAAATGTCACATATTTGCCTATGTTAGTGTATTAAACTACTTGAATATTTCTTATAAAACTAACTGAAGTCTGAAAAATTTCTCTATGTTCACGGCACATTCAAGAATCACTGAAGATGCATCCATATGTTCACTGAGGTTGTATGCGCACCAAGGAGGGAAAAAAGAAAAAAAATCAACATTTTTCAGGCTGATCTGTACGCTTCAGGACTGATTTAGAAAATAATACAATTAAATATAGTACATTCCTAGTGCATATAAAGATGCTTATTTCTATATGGCTTATACTAAAGCAAAGGATTCCCAATGTTCTAACAGAAAAGTGCAAAAAGTCACCCCAAGAGAACCTTTAGCTTCCCAAAGACAATATTGTTGAAGCTTGTGATAAGTTGTATCTAGGATTAAGGCATCTATAGCTGCTGCATAAAGCTGTTTCATACACTGTAGGTTGTGATAATTATTTTAGACATGTTGAAAACAAACCCTCTGGATTCTATATCTTCATATTGTTAAGAAACCTGTTTATGAACTTGATTCATTATGGAAAACACATTATGCTCCCACTGTTTTGCAAAATAAATATCCTCAACTTACCGATACTGCGGGTTTCGGGCCCATACTCCTGTTCCCACTGAGGCACCAACAATCACCATTAACTTCCACAGCCATATTGGAGCAAATACGGCCCAGTAACTCCACTGAATTTTGTCATCCAGACGTAGAGAGAGCAACACAGAAAAAAGCAGCAGGCAGGCATAAATAAGAAATTTGCTATTAAACAAACAAACAAACAAAAAACAGAGTCAGAAATTAAGGAAGGCAACTTAACATGAACTTTGTAGAGAACAAGAAAATCAGACATAGCTGAAATTTAATCATGTTATTTCCCAACAGGAAGCATGTCAAACTTCTTTCTAAAGAAATCAAATCAGTTCTGAAGAGTCAAATATTTAATTATAAATACAGCATATGTCATCTCTTTCACTTATAAAAAAAATTACTTCAAGAGAACACATAAAAAGCATTCTTGCATGACAAACTTAATGAATGGACATCTGTAAATAGTTCCCTTCCACAAGGATCCAGTCAGGAGCCACACTATTAGAGGCTCAGAAATATGCCAGTTGAACAGGTTTTTAAAAAATGTGTTCTTTCATACAAATCAAATGAGATAGTTTCTGATGTTCAAAATAAAATTACATTAACTATGTAACTTAATCCACACTATTTTTAACTAAATATTAAAAGCTATTACATATTGTAATAAGGCAGATCCCAGAGATTATTTTTTAAATTTTTATATTCAGTTTAAAAAAAGCAACATTATAGGAAAAAATCCCCAAATGAACCAAGGTTAAACTTTTAACAAAGTTACTGATTACAGAGTGAAGTTCCTAACTGGAACACTGAGGATGGTGCTTACTAATTTGAAGTAGTTATGTTGATATATCTTATAAACTAGTCAACCTAAGAATGAATAATGTATCCGGAATACTCGATAGCAGTGGCACAGCAACTGCCTGTATCACCAGAAATCAAAATAATTACATAGTACATGATTTCCTCACGCTACAGGAAGGGAAAAAGTCACCCACCCATTCACCAGAGGATCACAGACTGCTTTACAAAACACGTAATTATGCTTCCACACCACTTCAGTGAAGTATTTGTATGTATTTTAAAACATGGATAACCTAAGGAACAGAGAAAATACTTGCTACAGAGTAAAGCAGCAATAGTCAGGAATACTACCCTTACTCCAACAGCACAACTCAAACGACCCACTTTCACTCTCTTCAAATAATAAAACATTCACTATCTCAGCATTGCCTCGTTTTGAGATCAAGCTGCTTTGTCTCTATTCAGAAAAAGTGTCTCAGCTACCCCTTAATAAGAAAAAGCAGTTTTATTGTGTCAGCATTGCCTCACGTGCTTGATGAAACCACCTCAGGATAGGACGATACAAAACAAGTCACTCTTCACAGCAACAAAAAGATCCTTCAGCTTCCTAAGCTATTCATACTCTCCCAAGATTCAGTATTTGTGTAACTTGTACTTTCACTGGCTCCTCAATAAATACAGAAGTAAAATGTCATGTGGTAAAATACCACCTGAGTGTTCCAGTGAACATCAAAACATTCAAGATTAAGTTATCTGCACAAATGCAACATTCAGCTTGCTCGTTAATCATTTGGACAGCATCCAAATAAGCTGCAAGCATTACTTAACAATAACAAAACTTTGTAAGCTTCTGGAACTCCTGTTCCTATTTTTCCATTACTTCCAACCACACATATTTAAAATTGTTTACTTCAACCTCTCTGCAACAATGCACTTCCCAAAGCATTGGTTACCCTTCTATTTGTCTAAACAACGATCTTAAGACAGCTTTTGGTAACTGCAATCATGTAAGGCCTCTTTTACAAGCAAGATTTTTCCCAGACTCTCAGTATTTCACGCCACCCTGCACGAGCAGGCCTTTATTCTGTGGTCTTAAAATACCGGTAACAGGAAAAAACAGTAAAAATCAACTCATTCTTTCAGCTTCTTTAAAAGTTACATGTATCCATACTTGCTTGACAAGACAGCAGAAGCCCAAGTTGTAGCGACCTGTTAATTTTAAGAGAGCCCAGAATAAAGAATCAGCATCAGCAATTCTCCATGTCTAGGCTAGGATTAAGCACGATGCCTTCACACCTGCAAAAAAAAATGAGCCTTTCCCATATGCTAAATACCTGTGTTTGCACATAAGGCAACTTGGCTTTCCAGGACAAAGCTTTATTCCCAAATCATCAAGGTGAAAAATTAAAAAAACTGAATGAGTTTCGGGAGTAATCCGAGAAAGTTACATAATAAACCAGAGAAGATGACCGGAATTCGCCCTGGAAGCCAGATGACGGATGCCGCTTTACAGCCACCGGGCTCAGGACCCAGCCGAGGGGAGCACATACACGCTGGGGTGG